CTCAAGATAACCCGCTCCATGCTCTTCCCTGGTACCGAGGTAAGGCTGACAGCCTGTAGTTCCTGAGATCCTCCTTCTGGCCTTTTTGTTGTAGATGGGCATCCAGTTGGGAAGCCTCCAGTCCCCTGGGACCTCCCCTGTTAACCAGGACTGCTGATAAATGATGGGAGAGTGGCTTGGCAAGCTCTTCCACCAGCTCCCTCAGTACTTTTGGGTGGATTCCATCAGGTCCGTACACTTGTGGGTGTCTAGGTGACATAGGAGGTCCTTAACTGTTTCCTGCTGGATTATGGGGTGTTTTTTCTGTTCTCCATCTCTGTCTTCCAGCTTAGGGAGCTGAATACTCTGAGGATACTTGGTCTGGCTATTGAAGACTGAGGCAAAGAAGGCATTAAGAACCTCAGCCTTTCCGTCATCCTTGGTGACAGTGTTCCCGCCCTGCATCCAGTAAAGGATGGAAATTCTCCTTGGCTTTTTTTTCGTTGTTAATATATTTGTAAAAACATTTCTTGTTATCCCTTATGACTGTGGCTAGATTAAGTTTTAGCTGGGGTTTTGCCTTTCTAATGTTCTCTCTGCATGACCTAACGAGATCCTTGTACTCTTCTTGAGTTGCCTGCCCCTTCTTCCAAAGGTGATAAACTCTCCTTTTTTTCCTGAGTCCCAGCAAAAGCTCCCTGTTCAGCCAGGCCAGTCGTCTTCCCTGCCAGTTCATCTTACGGCACATGGGGACCGCCTGCTCCTTTAAGAGGTCCTTCTTGAAGGATGTCCAGCCTTCCTGGACCCGTTTGCTCACTTGATAGTGAGCACTGGATGGTTTGAAGAAAATATGGTCACAACATGGTCAGACTCTTCTGTGCTCTTTTGTATTTTGGTTTAATTGAATTGTCACTGGTATTACATCTGATACCAGTCATAACCATTCTAACCATAACCAGTGGATGACTCTTTTCTTCCTCCTATTAAATATGCAGTAGTCCAGACAATGCTGTGGAGGTCTGTTCTGCACACATCTGAAAAGGTGGATTTACATATCAGGGCAAGGCTTGACATGGAAAGAGCACTTTTGTTGCTGACAAAAAATTTTGTAGTGCTGGCAAATGGAGGGCAGATGTAGGTTCTGTATGGTTCTATTGGTAGACAGCAAATTAGACATGAAAAAATTGTTACTCTCTCTGTGGAAAGTGAAATTAAACCAGGAGGCTTTCTAGAAAAATCTATGAAGCCTAGTAATGAAGAACTGCAAAGGTCAGTCAGGATTAGCTCTCACTGTGGACATGGTAGCACGTTTACCATCTAATGAACACTATTGTGACAGGGATTCAGTATGCAAGTGGCATTTTTGTCCATGCTAGTTTTGAATGACCGTGTAAAATCCTGTCCCAGCGTTGATGAGATCAACTCATGAATGAAAAGCTGCTGGAGCTGCACCTGAGCCGTCTGGCAACATCACACAGTTTAACAGCTGAATGTTCTTCACAGACTTAGTGCTGTCTCCCTGGCTGGAAGTTGTGTGTAATCCCACTGAGGTAGTTCGGTCCATGGCCTTGGATTGCTTCCAAATTCCTTGCTGAGGCTAGAAATAATTTTTTTTTTCTGCTTCCTGCCCCTGTCGTCCGTGTCCCGCCCCCCCCGCAATGTGTTCCATAAGTTAGGGCTGTCCAGAACACTACTGCCAGTTGTTGAGGAGCTGTTAAATGTTTTACTCTTTCCTTTATCATCCTGTTTGCATTATAGTAGTGATGTATCTACCTGGTCTGAAGCCCAACAGGTTAAAAAAGAGTCCATCTTTCAAAAATGTAATCTAAGTCAAGGACGTTAAACATGCCCTAGTCTGTTAGACGTGTCCTATTGCTCTCTAGGTAGGCCCAAATTATACATAGGGACTGACTTTCCCACAATATCATAAGAAACTGTCTTTTTTTCTCTCTCTCCCCCGCCACAGTTCCATCTCTGGTTCCTGTAGGATCTGGGCTTTGTGCTGCCTGTTCCTGTGATGCCTAGGTGGCAGGGATGAGGCTGCCTGATGCACATGCAAAATGATACCTTGGGGCTGGGTGGAGGTTTTTCAGAGGAAATGCTGGAATCGAGGAAAAAAAATAGCTTTGAGTTAAGAGCCTGTGTGTGGAGGTAGAGAGAAGAGACCAGCTGGCCTAGGAACAAGGGATTGAATAGTCTTCTCCAGTACTGAAAACTAGCTGGAGGTTGCAGAAAAGATGGAAAGACAGGTCTGAGCTGGACAGCAATGCTGGGGTACTACAGGCAATCTTCATTCTTTTGTGTTTGCAGCCTCTGGAGTGATGTGATAGAAGGAGGGCTGTACGCTTCGTAACATTCCAGTGTAATATTTTATGTGAATTTTTATCTTTCGTGTCAAATCACTAAATCGTTTGGTGTTTAAAGGACATGCATGGTTTTTCTCCCTGTCAGGAACAACAGAGTCTTCTTATCACGGGGAAAGTTTGTATGTGTAGTCTGGCTAAGATAGAGCTTTCCTGTCATAGGCTGTGAAACAAACTGCATGACTCTGTGCCATCACAGACTGTAAGTGTAACCATAACTGTATGCTCACAAACTACATATAAAATATTACCTTATCTTTTTTTAAATAGTAGTAAAATATATTTCCTCCATGGGGAGAGAGAGGACCATATACAGGAGAAGTTTGCCATCCATTACAGTGCTTTTTTGAAAAGTGATCCAGTGCTGTGGGAATGAAGGTTTTAGAATTAATAAAATAATTTGGAAGAATGAAAGACACCTGATTATATGATTGACATTATTTCATGCATAAGCATAGATTAGTATGAGAGCTAAAAAAAAGTAAAGAACATGCTATATTGTTGGCATAGTTCATGGAAAAAGTTTCAGTATTTTTCCTCAGAGTTGCAGACAGAATTTACTGTGGCAGAAAGTTAAAAATCTTGCTTCTGAAATTTTTAAGTTGATGATTCTTGCCTACAAAGGTAGAATATCTTAGAGAATACTGTTGTAGAGTATAAGCAGTGCTCACTTCAGCATTCAACTTTATCTTTTGTATTTGAAATACCGGTATCTGTTACTCTTTATCTTTTTTGATTTTTATTGAATGGGGTATCTTCCTTTACATAAAAGCAACCAGAAGCTCTCCTGCTCTGCATTAGCATATAATATTTATATGTGCTTTATTAATTTCCTTTCAAAAATTTAGAGAAATGGAGCTTTCCTGGAGTTTGCATAATGGATAATATGATAATGGCTAAGGCAGAACTTTCATTATGGGTAGAAAACTAGGATACATTTCAATGCTTTTGAAAATACCTACAACACCTTTCACCTTCAGTTTCAGACGGCAGTAATGTGATTGGAACTGAAGAGAACAGTTTTGACCGCAGCTATGTAAAAAAGAAATTGGAACATGGACTTTCACGAATATGGCAGGTATGGTTTTTGACTTTTTTTTTTTCCCTAAATATTTATCTCCCTGACATGCCCTCCTCCCTGCCCTTAATTACAAGTTATATTTATACTGATCTCCTTGAAAAATCTCTCCAGGGATTTCAGGGTTTGCTTTTTTTTTAAGCCATTTATTTTGAGCTAAATATGTCAAAACCATGGAAATATAATTTCTGTGACTCAGTTACTACTTTGTTGCTATGCTTACAAACTCAGTCAAGATACGAAAACATAGTAATATGACTTTCAGCCTGATTCCACTTCTCCCAACCTGTGTGCTGCCCCACAATCTACTTTCTTCACATGTGCTTTTCTCTGTTAGCACATGCATACTGCTTTATGTTTCTGGTATAACTATAGCTATGCACAACCTGAAATCTTGTGAACCTGCCTGGTTTCACAGTATTACTGGATCAGTTTGTGCAGTGAGACCCCAATATATGATGAAAAAACTGTGAACTTTTTACATAGCTGAATTGTAATCCAGAGTTCTGTTTTTCCAGTGACAATAAAGCATCTAGGATGGACCTTATGTTATGGAGTGTTAAAGAAAGTGATTATAATTTTATTTTAGAAAGTCAATGAGAAATCATTCATGTTACAGAAAATGGATTTCTACTCTAAATCTCAAAAAGAAGTTATAGGTGCAAATAAACCAAAAAGTGCTAATGAACCAGGCATCTGAGCCCTTTTTGTCCTTAGTGTATTAATTATACAAAAACTTGTTTGTGTTTTGTAGGATGTTCAGCTGAAAGTGAAAACATATCTTCTGGGAACAGATCTGTCTAACTTCAAATATGACGACTTCATATTTGTACTTGATGTTATCAGCAGGTATACTGATGTGGTCAAAAGACCACTTAATACATGTGCACAAACTTGAACCCTGATAAGACAGCACAGGCTAATATTTATGTTATGATGCCAACTTTGTTCATATCATAGAATCTTTGGGTTGGAAGGGACCTTTAAAGGTCACCTAGTCCAAACCCCTTGCAATGAGCAGGGACATCTTCAAATAGATCAGATTGCTCAGAGCCCCATCCAACCTGACCTGAAATGTTTCCAGGGATGGGGCAGCTACCACCTCTCTGGGCAACCTGTGCCAGTGGTTCACCACTCTCATTGTGAAAAATTTCTTCCTTAGATCTACTCTAAATCTACCCTCTTTTAGTTTAAAACTATTATCCCTTGTCTTATTGCAACACACCCTGCTAAAAAGTCTGTCCCCATCTTTCTTAGAAGCCCCCTTGAAGTACTGGAAGGCTGCAGAGCCTTCTCTTCTCCAGGCTGGACAACCCCAACTCTCTCAGCCTGTCGTCACAGGAGAGATGTTCCATCCCTCAGATCATTTTTGTGGCCGTCCTCTGGACCCGCTCCAACGGGTCCATGTCTTTCCTGTGCTGAGGGCTCCACAGCTGGATGCAGGACTCCAGGTGGGGTCTCACCAGAGAGGAGTAGAGGGGCAGAATCACCTCCCTCAGCCTGCTAGCCACGCTTCATTTGATGCAGCTCAGGATGTGGTTGGCCTTTTGGGCTGCGAGCGTACATTGCTGGTTCATGTCCAGCTTTTCATCCACCAGTCCCCCCCAAAGTCCTTCTCGGCAGGGCTGCTCTCAATCCCTTCATCCCGCAGCCTGTAGTGATACTGGGAGTTGTCCTGACCCAGGTGCAGGACCCTGCACTTGGCCTTGTTGAACCTCATGAGGTTCACGTGGGCCCATTCCTTGAGCTTGCCCAGGTCCCTGTGGATGGCATCCTGTCCCTCAGGCTTGTCAACTGCCCCACTCAGCTTGGTGTCATCTGCAAACTTGCTGAGGGTGTACTCGATCCCACTATGTCATTGATTAAGATATTAAAGAGTATAGTTTGAAGAGTACTACTTCTTTATTTGGGAGAGGTAGCATAAATGGCTGCTCAAGTACTGCTTAAGTGTGGTATGATTTCGGTATTGTCCAGCTTTAAGATTTCAGATGTGCAGATCTGACAATTTTGATGATTCTAAAAGCTTTTAAAGGGACTCTCAGTCAAGAGCAGTAAAATACTGTGGTACTGCTAACCTGTACAGTATTATATCCTTCTGTTTGGTTGATGTGAATGGTTCAGCCTGTGAGCTGCACACTTGCCTTGCATAATGGGATCTCAAAAAGACATTTATTTTGCTTATGGCTCTTTGTCTCTATTTGTATGGGACATATGATAGGATTTGGAGGGAAATGAGATAATGGACTTCTGTGGAATGAGTGAAGTGTGTGCAACTTAACATTGGTGTTCTGCTTTTATGGAGATACATGTATGCACATGATAATGATTGAGCCTTGTAATTCAGGTTGGAACACCAGTATTAATAAATTAATAAATATTTCTAAACTTTGTTTTATTATTATAGGCTGATGCAAGTTGGAGAAGAATTTTGTGGCAGTAAGTCTGAAGTTTTGCAAGAATCTATCAGAAAGCAAAGTGTTAACTATTTCAAAACATACCACAGGTGAGACTATAGTACGTGCAGTGGATGAATCTAATGGCATTTATTTGTGTTAGGTTTAACTTTAAATGCTTTCCACAAAGGAATTCCACTGCATAATGTTCCTGCATTGAAGTTGACAGTGGAATTTGTTTCATGATGAGAACAGAGCTCTGAACCCTGGAGAAGGGGGGAGGGTGCAGAAGCCTTTGCCTCTGCTATAGTTGTGGAAAACTCTAGATCTGCAGCAGGCAAGCCAGATAAAGATGAAAAACTTGTAACGTAGGATTTCAGTAGTTTTTCAGGCTTCTTCAAGCTGTCTCCTAGGACCTTGAGGATGAATACCTCTGAAGTCCATACTTCCTAGCAAAATTGTTACTTCTTTTTCTATGCTGTTACATAAAAAGAAACATGTGTGATGTTCGTGTGTGGCTATGAAATGTTTTTTTCAGTATGCAGTTTTGTCTTATATCAAGTGTGATGTTTAGAATGGAGTCCATCCTTTTGAGTCATGTTTTCATAGTTTTTTCACTGGCAGTATCTAATTATGTTTCAGTCAACTCTATACTGTCATATCTGAGGCCAGCCATATCTGCTGTTATATGCAGACAGTCTCTGGCCTCAGGTATGATATATGGCTATGACAGCTTCCAGACTTGTCTGTTTTAATTGTCTGGATTTTGGTTTGGATGAGTGACAACTCTTTCATTATAGTTATCTAGCGTGTATCTTCTTTCTGGGTGTAAAAAGCTAAGAAGATATGAGAAGAAATACAGTGTTCCTTGCTCTAAAAAACTCTTACTTTCTCAGTCTAGATCTGTTGTCCTCTGTTTTAAGGGAGCTGTCATAAAGCTGATGCATCCAAACCCATTTGTTCTGAGACTTTCTGCCTGAAAGCCATAAAGTATGAAAACTGTGGTGGGAGAACATGAGACAGTGTCTAAATTCAGAAGCTGAGAACATGGTTTAGAATTTCTTCCAGCTTTGGTAGTTTGTAGCTAGGATTTCTTCCTGGACATTCGATGAAGACCTCAGTTCCAGTTGTCTGAGAAGCTTGAGCCTTAATCAGATGCACATTATGTCTTGTCAGGAGATGAGTTGATTAAGATGCCATGCCACCTATCTTTATTTCTTGAAATAAAGGTTTCTTTATTTCTTTATTTCTTGAACCCTGAACTGAATTTTGTGAACTGGTTTGGAAACTGAGCTTGCAGCTAGAGGTTCAGAAGAGTTATTTTGGTCTACCTAACCGTCTTTTACTATACTGACTTACCATATAATACCTTATTTGGTTAAGTAAATATTATTTTGACCATTATGATTTTGCTTATGTTTAAAAGACCTATTTAACAGTTTAGGGAATGAGAGACTGATTTTCTGAATTCTCTTTGAGTAAAATAAAGGCTAAGGAGCATTGATGGAATATGCATAGAAATAATTTTTTTTAAATAACTTGTGTTTTTTATTAAGGTGATATTTCTTGTAATTCTTGTGAAAATAAGAGGAAGTACTTACTGATATGACTCAAATTATGTGAACCCTTTAATACTTTTTACATGTTTTGTGCTGTGTGGCTATTGTGAAGATAAATTGGCTGATGTTTTCATCCTCAGAAGGAAAAATATAAAAAACCCTCTCTCCCAGCTATATCCCTCAGGTTGATTTATATAAAAGCTTTAAGCATCTTGCCTTTTTGGATCAAGCTAATGTGGCTTTCACTCCCCTTGTGTATTTAATTGGAGGAAAGAAAAAGAAAAAAAGCTAGTGCTTTTAAGAATTCATTAGTACATAAAAGCATCATAGAGCTGAAATGCTTAGAGTCCAGGAGTAATCAGTTCTTTGATTGTGTAATTTGACATACGTGGCCTCCTGGGTGGTGTGGTGTTTTAGAGAACTGCTCACATAGAGAAAGCATTCAAAGGAACTCATCATGTCATTCAGAAAGTGTAGAAGAGCAATGTAATACTGGAGCATACATGAAGTCTTTTTTGGGTAAAAGTTGATTATTTTGAAAAATTAGAGTGGGCTTTTGGAAGAGAACAACAGTAAGGTGATTTTTGGAGTGCAATTTACTCTCTGTTCTCATCCGGTTATAAAAAGGTGTGTCTGAACACTAAAGCTTTTGAGAGACCGAATGCATCAGACCTTCCATGTGTGCCACTTTTTAGACTTGCATGCTGGTGAAAATGAACAGCATTTGTTCCAGTAGTTTGTTGGTGCCTTAATTTCAGCTTTGAAATGATACAAAAAATGGTGCTGTGGGGCTTTTAAATATTTGCTTTTCTATGACTTTCTCCTTAGTCAGCCTCTCAAAGAATTTTAATTTGTAACACCGATTTTCACAGCATCTCTATCTGTTGTTTCTGTTGGCTTTACTGCGAGAAGATCTGCAAGATACGGGTACTCAATGCCTTGAAAATAGCACTTGAATTCTATTTGCGTTTAACTGGTGAATTTAAATAGACACAACAAACTGTAGTCGTAACGCAACAATTGCTCATCTTGTTGAGGCAAGAAAATTTTAATTGTAGTGGTGGTTATAGTTTGTTATTGAAATAATGGTATTTTTAGAATATTTTACTGCCTAATTAGAAACCCAGTGCATAATTTACCAATGTGCTGCTCGTTAAGCAAAAGAATATGCCATATATTAAGACTAAAAGATACAGCAATGTGACCTCAATAAGCATTCGTTCCTATCTTTTCCTATGTGACTTCCTGCTTATGTGGCAAACAGATTTGCTTTATTAGAAGTATTTCTTCTTATGGTTGAATAGAGGCTTTTCTAATGATTAAAACCATAACAGAAACAATGCGGAAATGTAATGATTTGATTACGTTTCTCTAATATGTTTTCTATATTAGCACCAAGGTAAAGTTAAGCTATGAAGAAAAGTACAGTTTAGGAAATTAATAGTCATTTAACTTTTTTCTTCTCCAAGAAGTTGAAGATGTCTGTAGAACATTAGCTCTTTCAACTTCGCTTTGCTGACTGTTGGCTTCAGTGTGTCTGAAGGAAGCATCTATCTTATGTGGGCTCACAGAAGCTGTTGTACTGCTAATAAAGTGTATATATTATATTGCTTTCTACAGTTTACATAGAGGCAAAAAGGTCCAGTATTACTGCGTAATCATAGATGTTCCTCTCCACTTTCTAACGATTTTGACAAAAAACTTGTTTCCAAATTTTGGAGATTAACATTCTTTGAGAATTTCTCCAGAGGTGTCATAAAACACACTCTGTTAGTAGCCGCAGCTTTTAGGTGGTCTGTCAGTTGAAAAAATAAGTTAAATACCTGTTTTCAAGTGTGACTTTTTATACAGTTTTTGAAGATGTTTTTCACTGCATGAGTTAAATAATTGTCTACTTCCTGATTTACTCTTGCTGCCAATTAAGAGTGTTCATTTGTTGTATTTCAGAACCCGTCTTGAAGAATTAAGAATGTTTTTGGAAAATGAAACCTGGGAACTTTGTCCTGTTAAATCAAGCTTTAGTATTCTGCAGCTTCATGTACGTTCTATGAATAACACATACAAATGTATTAATACTTTAATAGCTAAGAGTCCAGGTGTTCTGAGAAGTAGTAAGATCCATGAGCTACTGTGCAAATGTTTTTAATGGCTGCTAAAACCCCCTAAATTTCACTTCATGATACTGGAAATGTAAGATTCAAATGCTTTTTAAACATAGTGCTCCTGTTTCAAGCAGGTAGATGTTTACAGAAGATGCTAGAGTTGTTAAGCATAACGTTAGCCTTTATTTTTCATGTTTTAATGTGCTGTTAATTCATCAGTTTTCCATTTCTAAAGTATTTATGAGAGCGAGATGCTAAAAGATGAGTGCCTAAAAGTAGTCACATGAGCACTCACTAGCTTGTACCAATTTTGGCATCTGTTTCTGGAAACATAGGTAATACTGGCTCATTTGGAAAGGAAAAAAAAAAGTTCATTCTTCTGTGGTAAAGTCCAACTGAAAGCAAGTAATTGGTGTGCTCACCTGGTCTCCTAAAGTGATTTTTATGAAGTTTATCACATAGTAGGTGAATTTCACCTGTTTTGCCAAATGAAAGTTGGCTGCCTATGATTAAAACTATCACTAAAGTGCAAAAATGGATATAGCTGAGCTTTTGCTCAAGCTCAAGACAGTTTTTTGCTAAAGCAGAAGATAATTTTGCAGCTTCTGTAGAGTTAACTGTAAAAATAAGCAAGAGGCTACTGGGGCAGTAGTAGCATAGAGGGAAAAGGAAGGAGGACCCTCCGTAGCATCCAACAGCAATAGAAATAATAATTTTAATAGAGAAATGGGATTATAAATCCATACATACTGCTCAAGGGCCTGGAGCAGCAGAAAATGGCAGAAAGCAACTGATTCATTTAAACGGAAATCTAACATTGCAGTCCTTTTAGCCGCATACATTTTGATGTTTAAACCCTTACATAAATGATAATGTACACTTGGCCATTTATGAAGATGAATAGCTAGAGTTTAATAGATAAAAATGATATGACAACTGCGATAAGTCAAGGTTTTTAGAAAAAATGTCTAAATTCATACCTTATGTGCCCTACTCAGTCCATATATTTGCACTCATCCAGTAATCAGAAACTTCATGTGCAATGGGTTTGAAAAGTAGTAAGTTTTGAAAAGAACTTTTAACAAATAAAATATTAAGAAAAAAAATCCAGCTTTTGTAAATTATCAGGTAACTTATGTAAGGAAAACTACATTTTTGGATAGAATGTAGGTCTTGTTTTATCTCCTAATTTCTATGGAATTAAAAAAACCCCTTAGTTTTCACCTAGTTTTAGACAGTGATGTATTGCATGTCATAGCCAAAACCTGCTAAAATTAGAAAGATGAGCAGTAGAAGATTGCCAATTTCAAGGTTAACTTAAGCCAGCATGAAAAGCATGTTTAAATAAGCAGCAAGCTTTGGCTAAAATTTTTCATATCAGGTTAATTGTCCTCAAGTTTGTTGTTATGCTCTGTTTTCATGGAACTGGAGTCATAATACTGAAACTGTCTTGTTGGTGATTAAAATTGTACTTTATTTGTATTAATAGGAATTTAAGTTCATGGAGCAGTCACGTTCCCCATCTGTTTCACCTAGTAAGCAGCCTGCTTCAGCAATTTCAACAACAGTAACGTTATTTGAGCAGTACTGTAACGGAGGAAACCCATTTGAAATTCAGGCCGACAGCAAAGATGATGAGACAGAAGACGTCTTAGCTTCCAATGGGGTATGGAATGACGGGGCGGCGGGGGGGAGAGGGAATAAAGAAAAGCAAATCTTGCTGTCAGTAAATGATGATTTATTTTGTGTATCAGTGATGGTAAAATATCTTAGTACAAGGATCAGTTAACTGCAGTACTGTGTAAAATCTCAAGCCACTTTACTCCTTTAATTAGGTAGGTTGCTTTGCTTTTAACAGTGCCAGAAAGCTAGGCATCCTGTTTAAGGTTCAGTTTGTTTTGCAGTGGATCAATAATTTTTTCCACTGAAGTCAAGTGTTCTGAAGGCTAGCAAGGCATGTTCCAATTAAATTAGTATTTTTCCAGGGGTTTAAGTTAGCTTTCTTTGTGGAAGTAATTTTTTCATTTTAGGACTGTCTTTCTGTCTTCGTAGGAAAGAATCATTGTGGGTTGCCCCATCTGTTGTGTTTGTTCACACCTACGTGATTTGCCATGGATTATCCAATGTTTGTTAGGCAGTTTCTAATTGTAATTTAAATGCTCAGGACACTCGCTTTATGATGGCATCTACTATAAAACTGAACAATAACTTCATGTAACTTTTTTTTTTTCAGAATTCTTTCAAAATCTAGCAGTGGTCAAATATGTTTTATGTTAAAACTTTGTATCATTCTCTTAAATGTTATATTAGCGTATTTTTGTTAAAGCTTTTGCTCTTGTTTATCACTTTGATGAATAATATTTTCTTGGACTTTTTTTTGTGATAATGTTGAGTTTAGTTTTTTTGTTTAAGGTTAGTTAATCCAACTTTTCACACTAATGGCTTTCTTGTTTTCAGCTTCATCTTTCTTGTGTTCCCTGTGGAATTTCAGTTGCAAAGCAGCTTGACCTGTATCCCACACGCCTGAGTGTGATGCTACAGTGTCTTTCCTTCTGTGGGCAGTGCTGCAGTCTCTTTCCTACTGTGTCACTTGAAGAGAAAATACAGTTGATTGGCATAAAATATTGTTGCATTGTGCTTAAAGAACACTGCTAGAGAGCCAGTTTCCTGGTGGTAGTTCTTCCCCTGTCATGTAATACAACAGAACATATGTCCTGAGTTTTCGTATCAGTAAACTGAGAAGAGTTGCTTGGTTATCACTGTAAAACTTACACATAGACTCCAAATGCATGTGTTAAGCAAAGATGAATGCACTGCAGGGCATGCTGAAAACTGCAGAATTCCATGGTACTTCGTTGAAAACCACTCTGAAACAAAACTTTTGAGGAATCTGGGTGGCCATTTGGTAGATATTTACTAAAATGATCCTTAGTGAAATACAGATTAATGATGATACTAACAGTACTTTTGAGGTTTTCAAAATGAAAAAAAAAAAAAGAAAAAATTTTGCTTTTTAAAAGATTTTTCTGAAGAAAAAGGACTAGAAAATTAGCTTTGGGTCGTGTTTTTATTTGTTTGTTGGTTTTGTTTTTTTTTTTCTTCCTTGTGAAGGTTTGTCTCAGTAACAAACGTATAGACCCATCATGACCTTCACTATGCAGAAATACATCTCAAATATTGCAGGATATTTTTTGCCACCATTTGTATGTATAATAATTAAGAAAGTGTGAAATTATTTTCCAAAGGTGATACTAACTGGAACTACTGAGACTGGATAATATCTCAAGAACAATGAATAATGGTTGGAATGTGATTTCAATCTCCTCTGATTCCTTGCATGCCGCTGCTAGCAAATGAGTGCATATACTGTCCCCATATTTTTGTGCAGTGACTTGTAAGCATAATACTTACACTTGCAGATGGCTAGGATTGTCTTTATTTCTTGACTATGGATATGTTGAGGAATTTTTGTTTCAATCTGCACCTTTGTGTGAGAAATGAAAACTTTGCACACAAGTTAGAACAGAACAGCTTCGTTCTTTCCAGTTTTAACATTTACCCTTCGGAATCTGTTTCTCCTAGCTCAAGTAAAATTTAAATGACATTGACTTCTTCTGCCCTAAGCTTTTGTTTCTATAACCATGAAGTCATTTAATGAAAAAACTAGGTAGCAAATGCTGATGAATGTGTTGGAGATACTGTTTTGTTGGCTTTTGCCAACTGAAGCGTCATACCTGCTGCCAGGCAGACTGCTATCAGTAATACCCTCTTCACTCTTCAGTTGTATATTATTTTTTTCCCCTTTTTGCCGATGATGAACCTATTCAGAGAAGTAATAGAGCTTAAAAGCAAAAAAAAAAAAAAAAAAAAAGCTTCAGCTTTCTGTACAGATTCAGTGTTTCAAGTAAAATCTCCACCTGCACTGGTAGTCACGCAGGAATTGTCACGTTATGCGAGACCAGTGGTGGTTCTGGTACAGCACCCTGCCTCTGGTAGTGGTTAGCACAGGCACTGTGGGCTCATGAGAGGTAGTGGGTCCTTGCAAGTCCTACTGGGACACTTTGTAACCTGCATGAGTTACAAAGCATAAATGCGTGGGATGGTTTTCCTCTACTTGTTCCAGAATAGGAGAAGAGAAAAAGGCAAAGACGACACACCCACCCCGGAACCACATTCTCTATTGTAATGGAGTAATATCATTATCCAGGAAGTGATCCATTGTCTTGGTCGTCTTGTTACCACAGGGGGTCAATGAATTTGATCAGCTAATCATCCTGGGTAAAACTGTCTTTTTATTCTGAATTTGTCTCTAGTCATTGGAAAAAGTCTATATATGTAAAGGTTACTGTTTTCATACTGGTTGTTCACTGCTGTCTGTTTTTTGAAGGTGTGTGAGGCTCTGTCCCAGTCAGAGCTGAAACTGCTTAAGACAGTAAGCATTAGTTCGTTAGTAAAGAATTGCCTCATGCTTTGCACATAGGTGCTGCTATTGCTGCAAGCACTGTGGTGGAGATGGGGTTCTCTTAAATCCCTGTCAGGACGCTGTAGCCTTCTCTGGTGGGGCTGAGAGCGGCTGCCTCAGCTGTTCAGCAGTGGCAGGTTGTGGTTTTGGTGAAACACGCTAGAGGCATGATCCCAGGAGTTAACCAGTAGGCTGATGTGTTACCCGTGTAGCAAAGTCCATGCTGTGGTTCCCCTGTCTTCAGTTTTGAACAGTGTCCCATTTGGTAGGCTTGCACATTGTCAAGGCTGGCTGCAGTGTCCTCATTTTCAAAGCTGTGTGCCAATTTAGTGTTCTTTATTAGTGAAACCTTACTGTATTTTAAATTGATAAAACCTGATTTTGTGCCTGGTGAAGAACCATAATGAATTTTGGCTTTCCTTTGACACCAGAGGGACAGAATGTTCTGTGTGGAAGAAGTGAAATACCAATTATATGGTTTATTATGCATTTTTCTTGTGAAATATAGGTGAGATTTACAGTCATTCATATTATAAAATAGGGTTTTTTAACCTTAAATGTAGTGGTATTTGGAGAACTTAGGAATAGTGTATAGAACTAACTTTTTTTTCTATAAATGAAAATGTAAAGTTAACTTTCAGTTTGTTCAGTTGATTATAGATTGATTATAGAGAATGATGCTTCTGATTTTTCATCCCTCCTTGTGGAAGTCAGTTGTGGTGAATGTTTCCTTTGTTTGACATGTTTCTAGCAACACTGTATACAAACAGTTTTATTCTGTATGATAAATTGAGAATAATGCATTGGAAAATGGCAACTAACTGCTTTTAATATTGAAAGATGTTAAGTAAATCTGAAGAATTGTTCTGAGCATGCAGACAAGGGTTTTCAACAATGCTGAGAAGGCACTTACTTTGTTTTCATTGGTGTATTTGGCTGTTAACTCAGTCACTTGAAGGATAAAATCCTTTCAAAAATCTTTGTGAGCCAGGGGAGTATTATACACATTGACATAGAGCACAGGACAGGTTAATTAACTTGTCATTAGTACAGAACATCTAACCTGGCTGGTATTAGAACCAAGGTTTCTTGTGACCTAAGTACTTTCCAGGTGACCATCCTACCTTCCCTTTCCACATTTCTCACCTCCTGTCTCCAAAGTGCTGACAGATAGAAAGAATTCTTACTTAAAAAAAAAAAAAAAAGTTATTTGGTTATCCTTTACATAGAAACAGAAATATCTTGCTTAGGTAATGTGGGATAAAATTTCTAGAAAGGTTTTATGTTTCAGTTTCTTGTTTGATCACTTAAGGTGGAGGCATGTCTTAGCACTTAAAATTGAAATAATTTCTGATGGAGGTTGCAAAATTTGTTTCCAGAGAATGCAGACAGACATGTTTCCAGATATTTCAGAAATGACATGACAAGGACATATGCAGTTGATTTACTTGTCAAATGATCTTTAGGATGGCAAGAACTGTCAGGATTTCTTTTGAGAACTTTTAAAGTCCTTTTAACGGCTTAGTTATTGCAGTTCTGGACAACTGAAAACAGGCCACTGGATCCAGTCACCTTAGCTCTATATCTTGAGCTTCGATGAGATGCCCTTTTCTGTTGTACCCTAAAATCTCTTTGTGGTGATATAGTTACCTTAAAGTTTTGTAACACTCTTCAAGTTTAATGAATCTTACCACTGTCCTGTGGGTTGTTTTGGGCTGATTGCTTAAACACCTGTGAACTGATTATTGCTACAAGATACCTGGATTCCTTGTAGCACTTCAAAATTTTACTGCAGACTGTGCATATTCAAAATGGATTTATAAGATCTCTCTAGGTTGAGGTCACTATTTAATAGTTGTGAGTTACTTACTGCATACTTTAAAATGCAGATATTTTTATCTTACTAAATAACTTTTCCAGCTCATTAATAGCACTAGGTTCAGGAGACTTAAAAGTATTTTTCCATGTAAAAAAACCCCAACTTTCTCAAAATTCTCTTAACCTATGATGTTAAGACAGTTAATATGTCAACTGACAGATTAATATATCAATATGAATTGTAGTTAACAATTTGTAGTAAATTTATCATTTTACTATCACTGGATTTTAATTGAATTGGCATGTCATTTGTTATCTATTAATGCATAATAAGTGGTGGTAATTCTCCATGCTAATGTTCCAGCCAAGTTGGTTAAACTATGACCCTCTGTCTTTAATCAAACCTGAACTCAGCTCATTTTTGAAATAAACTCAGCTGCTTTCGTTATAGCTTTCTTCTGTCTGAAATGTTCATGAGGCAGAAACTTTGCCTGTGAATACTAATGATCAGAACTTCTTTTTAGTCTGTGTCTCATACTGCATTCTTTTTTCCATGTGAGCTGTTTTTGCTTTGAATTTGTTTGTACTGTGGGCTTCCCGCTTTTATAACATTGCTTTCAGAGTGCTAGGCTATAAAAATCTCCATAGCTTGGGTTTGGGCTTGGAATTACCATGCATGACTGAAAAAATATATTTCCTAGTGTATTTTGGATGATTGAGAGACTGGCATTACCTCAGTGTATCTTCCTTGGTTTTCCCCTCAGGAGAGTGGTCATATCCTTTAAAACCCTGCCATTTCTTAAGGACCCTGGAACCAGACTGTCTTTGTCATATGTGTCATTATTGACTCCTTGGATAAAATGGCTTCAGAGCAGTGTACATCTTAGTGAGAATTTAAAAGGAAGAGTACTGTGGTCTCTCTTCAAGTGAAAATGCAATCTGGAGCCTGATGGGTATGCTTAATGTTGTGATAGCTGTGTAGGTGTTCAGGAAGAAGGGTTACATCAAAGAGCATCAAGTATTTGTTTTCCTTCAATCTTTTCTGGGTTAAGAAATCCACCTTGTGAAGAAATTTATTTCATGATTTATGAAGTGTCTAAAGCACCTACACTACAGAGCGATCTAGAACACTTGAAAAAGAGATTGACATTAAGTATTGCTTTTAACTGGAGTGAAAAAAGATGGCAAATTTCAGGTATTTAAAAAAAAATAATCCCAATTGCACACTTTTAATATGCATGTGTGGCTTCATAATTATGAAAAGCATTTATTATCTGTGTTTGTGAATAGTATTTCTCCAAATAACTCGTACTCTAGCAATAATAATACAAGTCTACCATGGAAATCCTATATTGTGTTATGTATACAGCCTGTGTGGCTCTTTTTTTCCAGACATCATTTGTTAGGCGCAAACTTTCCATCCTTGAACTGAAAATAATTCTGTTGCAATCTTTGAAATGACATTCAACAATCGAACAAAGTGAAACAGTTTCAGAAAATTAAGAGTATTTGGAAGCAGTAGTTGTCTGTAACTACTTAAAATTCTTATTTTTCAAAAGATGTGATTAACATAAAATGTTGTTCCTCAGTATAAGAAGGCACAATGTCTCAAGGCAGGAATACATGGTTAATTTAGCTACACATTCACGTTTTTCATAGGATTATTCTGGAATAATTTGTGGCATTTGTGACAAATGAAGCAAATGGTGCATGAGGCTTTCTTCCATCAAAGAGGAATTGTTTCACTGATAATTAGGTAAATATTTCAAACATCAGGATCTTGTGCCTGTAACTAGATAAAAGATGCTTTATGCTTCAAAGCAAAACTGAGAACCAACACCTGCAAATCCAAGCATGCTCTGAACACCTAATCAAATTTTCTGAGAAAGCAAGGGGAAAAAAAAGAAAATACTTTTAATCTAGCCCCCACTGATTTATTCCACTGATACAGTTGAGTTCTGTCATTAGAGTATTTCTTAGAATAATATAGTGTGCTGTGGTTTTGGGTTTTGTTGTGGTTTTTATTTTCCTCTGTGAGGAAAGGTACATCAATTTGGGTTGCAGAATCCTGTTCCACGCTTGCTCTGCAGTTTTTGTTTGTCCATGTACAGTCCAAAGTTTGTATGTATAGAACATGCACATATATACAAAGTCACTCTTTTTGCTGTTGATGCAGATAGAACAGTGAAGAAAATAAGTGCAGAGAGATTAGTGAGGAAAAAGATTTACACGGTAATATCAGCCATGAGAAATACTTATGTTTTTGTAGTAGCATTTGACTGCTTATTGTTGTCTCAAAATGTTTGTGCTTAGTCAAAATTGCATTGGTCTCTAACAGGTTAAGTGGTTGAAAGACTCCAGCAGGAAATGGAGACAAAAAAATCAATTTTACAAACAACTGCAAGTTGTTTTTTTGGTGTTTTTTTTTTTTTAATAAATGCATACAATATAAGTAAATATTTTTGTGAAGCAATAGTTTAGTCCTTCTTGCATTAATAATTAAGGATTGTGTGGTGCCAGGTTGTGTGGTTTATTGCCACCATGGCTAAATGTTAAGGCTTTGTTACTGTTTTTTTCAGGTCATAAAGCAAGTAATAAAAGCTCAGGTACTTGGGTACTTGATACAGCAACAAAAAAGCAGAAGAAATTATCAGTAGCTGGGAGAAATAGGATGATGCAAATATTTACTCTTAATCAACATCTGAGAATAGAATTTTGTTTAGAAATACACTTAGAAATGGCCTTGTATAATTTGCCTGCTCCATTTTTAGTGAACATTGCCTTTCAATCAGCAAAGTTATTTGTATCCTGATTGAGATAAAAGCCAAGAAGTGATCAAAATGCTATGTTAAATGAGTGACAATATTACAAGAAAAATAATGGCAGTCAATTTATTCTTCCTTCTTTTTTTTTTAACAGTATGAATCAGATGAACAAGAAAAAAGTGCGTATCAAGAGTATGACAGTGACAGTGATGTTCCTGAAGAATTGAAAAGAGATTATGTGGATGAGCAGACAGGAGATGCCCCTGTGAAAAGGTAAGGAGACTTGTGTGAGTCCTTGGTCTCATTTACATGCTTTTCATCTCAGTACTCTAATTAGTTCATTTTCTGTTTAATCTATGCTCTACAACAGTGGAATAATAATCAAATAATCTTTATGCTACCTGCACAGTTAGAAAGGCTCAGCACTTAGATCTCGAGAATGGGGAGGAAGGTTAAACTGCTCATCATTACTGCAGAAAGAAACTTTGGAAAGCAAGATTTTGAAGCAGGATAAAGGCTTTCTGAAGCAGCTAGTGGAAAACTGATTAGCAAGCATTAGATATTAACTGCAGGTTCTTGTACAACTGGTTTTGTGCATATGTATAATTTCTGTTGTGTCAAAAGCAGTTGTATGCAGACACATGGCTTGAGGCTTTGACTTTGCAGAACAAAAATAATGTTTTAAGCTTAAAAATATAGTGAAATTCTTCCACAACTTGAAGGCAGTCATTTGGAATTTTAAATTATCTTTTTCTTTAAGAACACACACACACACACATATATACACATGATTATACATATTACACTGTGATGAATATATATAAAAAATATTTTATTTATACATTCATATAAACAAAAGACAACTGTAGGCATTAAAAGGATCTGAAATACAAATTTCTGTCTAGGGCACTGTACTACTTAAAAGTCTGTTGTGAAGCAGACTAATCGTGATTAGCTATTTGTATTAAAGCTATTTGTTACGTAGAGAACTCGAAAGCCATCACTTGGGTCAAAGCAGAGGAACTTTTTTTAGAAAATAACTCTTTAGGATAAAATATTGTTAGCATGATTTCATAAGCTACATCACATAACTACTTCATTTCAAAGAAGTGATGAAGGTATTGATAAAAATTACTTATTTGGAACACACCACAGTCACTGTCCATAGCTTTGTGCTGTAAAATTGAAGCATTCTTAATTTTTGGAAGAATACCGTTCTGAGGTATGGGAGCTGGCAAAAGGTTTCTCTTATAGTATCATAGAATATCTCGAGTTGGAAGGGATCAGTAAGGATCACTGAGTCCAACTCCCTGCTTCTTGCAGGACTACAATTTATGAAGAATTTAATGTCTTTTTAGTTTCATCTTCTTCAAAATTGTTTCCATTTCCAGAAAGTTGTTTTCAGCTGTAGTTTACTAGTCTGCCCCTGTTTTCTTGTGACTTGTGGTATTTTCATTTTCTTTACTTCATAAACTATGAGTTTGAGTCAAGAGTGGTTAAAATGATTGCTGAGGCCAAACAGAGAACTCAAGCCTTGGAGTACAACTCAAAAACTCCTTTCTCTAGCACAATTTTATGTAAATCAGGCCAGGCTTCTCTCTTTAAATGTTAGAATTCTAATCCAGTTGTGCTTTGGCATAAATAAAATGCTGCACTGGATGACATAGTGTCATGTAAAGAAAGGGGGAGGAAGGATTTCTTTTCCACTAAATGTTATTTGTATTTCCTTGAATATAATAGTCACATTTGGTGTATTTTGTTTTGTTTTCTTTAAAGTGTTTCTCGAGATACTCTGAGGAGCAGAAAGAGATCAGATTATAACCTCAATAAAGTGAATGCACCTATCCTAACAAACACTACGCTGAATGTAATAAGGCTTGTTGGTATGTAGAACAATTGCAGGTTTTTATATTTGTTTTTTATTTTAATGCAAACCTATGGATAATAGCAAATATGTTAAATGAATTTTGAGGCTTTTAAAAATACACCTAGTTGAGCTCTATTTCCACTCTTTGAAGATGTTGTTAAAGTAGAAATAAAGCACTGAACCAAAATATGTTTTGATTAAAGAGACAGATTTGGTTATGTCATGTGAGTTATTTTTACTTTGAAAATTAATCTGCATGTATATATTGATTTTAACCAGTAATGTTGGGTTATTTGTCTAAAATATTGAATGTGTAAAAACAGTGGAGATTGAAAGGAAATAGATTAATGTTTTATGTTGCTCATGTGTCTTGGTGGATTAAATGTTTCATTTTAAAGTAGTATAGTTAAATCTTAAGTAAGAACTTAAAGATTTGGCCCTCTCATTTACTGAAATTTTCACACCAGAATAACTATTTTTACTACGTGGTAGACAACTAGAAGAAAAGTGCCCTCCCGCACTGGTGATTTCAGTAACTGGAATGCATCCTAGTAATCCCCAGGGAGTTTAGGGAATCTCTGTCATTGGAGGTGATCAAGATGGGACTGGAGAAGCCTCTGCACAACCTGATCTCCTTTACACCTACTGCAAGCAGAGGTTGCACTAGATGACCTCTGGAGGTCCTTTCTAGCCAAACGTTTTCTATGAAAACACTCCCCTCCAATTCTAGGTGTAACGGAATTGATTTTTTGTGATCGTGACTTCCGTTTGATTGTTTAGATAAAATTAGCAATTTTCTGCTACTGCCCTTAATTTTATTTATAGAGAATGGGAAGTAACTACCTAAATTTATTCAGGTTAGGCAGAAGAGAGAGGAATTCTGTACTTGTTACATTAATGAAGTTTGTCTTCAATGTTTATGTGCTTGGAAGTAATTGTGGTACTCCAGAGTAAGCTGTTTTTAAGAGACTACTCTGACAACTGGTTAGTACCTTTTGCTGTCTTAGAGGGCAGCATATAAATCAGAAATTAATTTTCTAAATCTTTTTTGCATTTTTTTTTTCTTCTTGGAGCATCTACAATATAGACCTGAAATAAGAATTGAGATTATTCTGTCATTTGTTTGCTGCCTTCTAGAATAAGGTTTTGCTCTAAGAAAAGTTAGGATTGAATCTAGAAATCACACGTGGCACTTTCGTGCAAACTCGGTCTTCCCCCAGCCTCTGTCCCTGCCCTAACACAGTGTAAGAGTAGGTGGAGCTGTAGTTCTAGTTTTCTAATTTTCCATAAGGAATCTATATTTGTGGATTCTGGACATAACCCCAAACTTAAACATTATTTGCAAAACTCATATATATGCTTTTTTCCCCCTTCTGGAATTGCATTTAATTTTCAATATTTCTGCTGTTGGGCACCTTTTTATATTGTTTCTGTAATGACTGATAATAGTGTTATTTGGAACATAGAATTGGAAAGTGGCCTCCTGCAGCCCCTGCTACAGGAAGCCATGTCATTTAGTACTGCCTGTAGATATGCTTGTTTTGAGCTCCAGCTTAAAAATACTTCTGTTTTGTTCCCACGACTCTATCTAATAGGAATTCTATGTCAGAAGCCTTATCAACTTCATGGTTAAAAAAAATATTATCCACCTATTTTCTGCCCACATGATCTTAAGCCAAAATAAACTTTTAGGTTTAACAGATCGTCTTGTTCTTTGATGCATACTGCCCTGCTGTTTTTACAGAAAGCAATCCTATTTTTTCTCAGCCTTTGATTTGCTAAACTAAATGTGCCGAGCTTTTTAGTATCCTCTGTTTTTATCCACCAGAAGCTTAAATCCCCTACTTTCTTACCAGTTCTTTTCCTGCTCTTGTTATAGGCTTATTAAAATCATGTGCAATACTTTGGATGAGATCTCATTGCATTGTGTCACTGTTGTATCGCAGCATCCTGGTTGCAAGTGGAGTTGCCTCCCATTTGCATCTCTCTTGGATTTCTCACAGCTTCCTTGTACTGGCAGTTCAGTCCATCTGTAATGAGCTTGTACAGCCAGCAGCTCCTTCACTTTCCCAGTTTTTTCCATGGGATGAGCTGCTAGTTTATAGTAGAAAGGTGCATGTTTTTAATTAAGTGGTCCACAAATGCATGGCTTTACATTTTGTACTACTGAATGTCATCCAATTTTTGTTACAGCAGTCGTAAAGGTCCCCCGTTCCTGCTGTATATTATGTCAATTCTTTTCTGCTTTGATGGTGCCTCTGTATTTCTGCTTCTGTCACTTCCATAGGTCTGTTTTTCCCCTTTGTCCTTGTCTGAGTCATTCTTTGCTTCTAGTTTCTTTGCAGTTTCTCATGTTTCTAATATGCAAAAACCCCACCTCACTTTTACCTTATTTTGTATCTTGTTTAAGGAATACCTACCATCTGATAATCATAAAGGAAACAGGTTTTTTTTGCACCATGTTTTTGTTAGACATAAACTGCATATTATAACTCTACCACAGAAATTGAAAATGCTTTCATCTTTTGTCATGGCTTTCTGCCTTAGCATACAAATACTTCATTCACTTCTTCCAGGCAGCGTCCCCAGGTGCATCAGATGCATTTCTTTAACTAATGGTTAATGACTACAGAAACAAGAAACAAATAAGATACGACTATTTAGCCAGACTATTTGATTTATTAGTTTTTCCTCCCTTCTTGTGTCCCCTCTTGTCTCTTGAATCTTCCCTATTGAACGTGAAGTTAAGCATGTTGTTGCTTGGCAGATTTGGCTGGATGTGATGCTAGATTGTAGGAGATTCAGGTATGATCCAGTCTCCTGGATTTTCCCCCAGCAGACAGGAATGCTGTGGAGCATGCCCATCATTTAACAGCAATCTCTGCTGATGCCATGGAAGGCTCTGATTTGTCTCACACTGTGTCAGATTTTTGGCTAGGAAAATGGCATTGTACTTAACACAGTTTTCAAGGAGTATAACTGAGATGGTTGTCTAGGATCCTTCCATTATCAGTGGAGAACCGTAGGTAACTCCAGAAGATGATAGATTGTTGGGTGCCCTGGATGTCTTAGCCTGCATGTCATCACATAGATACCTTAACACTGGTCTTCTGGAGGTGCTTGCCCTCTGCACCTAGAGATGCAGATCAGGATCTCCTAGAATTAGACCTCCTAGATCAGGAGATCTAGGTAACCAGCGTGGGGCTATGCATCTAGTTTTTTAGATAAAGTTGGATGAAGTGAATTGTATATGCAACACCAGCGATGTGGTACCTCAAAAAATAAGCAGAGGCCTAATGTAGTACAGAGGACACTATAGATATGTCCTATATACAGAAAGCTTCTACTCTCTTAAAAAGTTTTGTTCCTTGAAAAAAAGACCTTATTTTAAGAGACATCTGTTTTGGTGGCAGTGATGTGAGTACTTAAGCAATTTTTGTCCCCATTATATTTCATCACTGATATTACTGCCTCCTGTATGTTGCATCAGCATGACTTTTGGTAGATCTAGACCAGCTCCCTGATCTTAGTTAAGAATAAATCATAAAGGAAACTAGGTTTAAAAAGGGAAGTCTGGAGTGACATGAAGATGTGGATTTAAATTGCCCAACCAAGTAACAGAAATTGTTGCCTCACTTTTTAGGAAGGGATGTTATGTAAGGAGTAGTACTCACTGAATGAGTATAACAGTGCTCATAACCCATTTTGAACTATTTCTGTGTGTTGTATGCTTTGTGTGGACACTAGATGAATAAAACAAAGTGTAGATTAATATTTATAAACTACATAAATGAGTTGCTATGTGTAACTAAAGTGGGAGCTGCTGTAACTTTAATTTATCTGGTTTTCCATCAAGTTAATAAACCAGGTAATTATTTCTCTGTTTCCAGTATAAAGTAACCATTAGCTTAATTTATAAAGATAATTCTTTCCTATCAAGCCATTGTGTGTTGACTTAAAATGTATAGGAAGAATGAACCTGTGTTAAATTTGTATCTACTATTTTGATCTAGGCTCTATACATCAACAAGAATAATGACTATGCCATTGTATTTATTGATTGGGTGATTTCTTATTTTAATTAACAGCATTCTGACTTAAGAAATACCCATTAAATTATTTCTTAGGTTGAGCTTTTTTAATGCCTTTTTTGCCTCATTTTTGCTTTTGTTGTGAATGTTTTTTGGGAAGAAATTCTTAGATTTTGCTTGCTCTAAAACCCATTAACTTTTAGGAAAATAATGATGGTGATGGCAGAAATCTTGTAACTGATGGAAGTGTTTGATCACATAGCATAGAACCTCATGGGTTTTAAAAAAACGCCAAAACGCATAGTCTTTCTAAATGGAAAATGAGGAAACAATCTGGGAGGTTCCTGGAGTG